AACCAATGTCATAAAAACGTCTAGTACCGCTGTCACTGTCTGAAAACGAACCAGACTTTGTCCTCGGAGTACTAGGGACCTTCAAGGAGCTGCTTGGTTCGTCTGGACAGGCCTCATTTATGACCTGAAGCAAAAGCATAATGCAACGTAAAGCACTTCTGCTACGATATGTACCTCATCGACGATAGGTGCGGCAAAAGCATTGGCAATCATCTCCTTCGAGCCTTTATCGAATCTCTTCTCCCTGCTTTTCTTCTTGAGGAAACCTGAAATTAGAATCATTACCCAACTGCTTGATCAAGGCAAACTAGTAATGCGCATGTGAACCGTAGAGTAGCTCCAAACGTCGTCCAATCAGTATTATCCCCATTTACTATGGGCGAGCACTCAACGCTGGTTACTTATTTTGCGTACATCCAAAAATTCCAACATTTGCTCTACCGTGTTGACCTTTCGACCCTGCAGACATGTTATGAAACAAATCAATTTATTCTCTTTGGTCCAACAGAATTCAGACCTTTCTTTCGAAAATAACGGATATGAATTTACAAGTTAATATATTAATAATTTTTCATCACGACAGTCTTCGAACATTTACCCAGCATGTATATATTCTATGTACAGTTAATAACTTGCAAAAATACAAAGTAATAGATGAAATAAAACATTCCATGGTCTGAAAGGAGTAACAAACTTAGAAGATGGGCTGAGATTAATAAAGCAAAAATAATACATCGAGTAGTAATTTCGAAAACCTTTCCTCGTTCATTTAATAATGTGGCTAAATCAGTCGTGGCTTAAAATAACGTTTGGTCGGCTTCGGAGGTGCCGAGCCCGATTCCTGCAGCGCGGGATGGGTGGGACATTGTCTTTATCAAAGATTTCCTTAAACATAGAATTTACCACCTGATTTGATTCAAATCAAGGCTACTAGGTCAGAGTAGCGTTCGATTCAGAAGCTAGAGGTCCCCGTCTTTCTACCTTCTGAGGTTGATAAACGAGTGATAAGGAAACAGACAGTAAATGCCATGTAGTTGTTGCCGATTTTGTCTTTAAAAAAGGCACTCTTAGCTGATGACGCGGAAATAGAGATCAGCGAGAAATATCAAGCTTGAACAGAACGATGCTAGAACTGGTCCCCTCATGCAAGTGTAGGAAAGACCAACATTCGAACGGTTACAGACTTTTCACTCTTCACTTCCTTTACAACAACGTTTACTTTCACGATGCTACGAAGTAAACAAAAATAATAGTTTTAGGTGTCTAACGTGTCCGGATTCACCCGGCATAGTCCTCCGTCCCACTGCATCTATCAACCAAAAGGCCGTTT